CAAACAACTTTACGCTTTCCGCAGCGCTTCTCTTCCATTCCGCTATGAGTCATTTCTCCCAACGTGCTTATCATGTGAGTGAATGGATCAGTGTGTGCGCGCATATATCATTGCGCGAAAAGCGATGCGTAACGCTAATCGCGTCGCTCAAATCCTTCCGACCGGCTGTCCGTAAAGTGTTAAGTTTTTTTTTCACAGTGTACAGTTAAACAAAGAGCATGCTTGGATGTATTGCAGAGAATTCCGCAAAACACCGGTGCATAGGCCGTTTTTTCTTTCCATGAAATTCATTCTCGCTCTCTGTCAATGCTATTTTCATGGGCAACGTTCGTCTTGCACCCTCCTCTTACCCGCTTTCTTTCCATTCAGACCGCTGAATAAACAAAGCTAACGACGATATGATGTTGTCAATAAAGGAGGATGGATTGTTGGTGGTACTTTTATTGTCATTCGGTGTGACGACAGTTTTGGTGCGCTGTGAAGAACCCGCAAATATGGAATCTGAGGTACAAGCGCCCAATTTATTGGGAGGATGGCAGGAACGCAATCCGGAAGAGAAAGAAATACAGGTTACCTTTGCTCTCTTCGCTGATCCTTCCCAAACTTGCATTATGTTCGTTCACGTGCTTCTTCACACTACGTGTAAGATAATTTCTCTTTACAATTCTTCTGAGTGGAAGGAACGAAAGGAAACGTATAAGTCGGATAACATTACTCACCGAAAGGTTTGAATTTCAAATGACAAAACCACTTTTTCTCTTCTCTTTATTCGTATAAATTACTCTTTACAGGACCTGTTGCCAAAGGTATTAATTAAACTAAATCAGCTGTCAAACGTGGAGTACCACCTAATGCCAATCAAATTACTGAAAGTTTCATCTCAAGTTGTGGCTGGTTTGAGATACAAGATGGAAATACAGGTTGCTCAATCAGAATGCAAAAAAGTATGTTTGTAACAGAATGCAGAAAGTATGTTTGTTTATTTCCGAAAGTGCAATTGTTTCCAACATTTTTGACGAAGAATGGCTGCAGGTGATATTTACTATAGGAAGTAGAAGAAATGTGAATCGAGGAGAGGAAAAGTGAAAGAAAGGACAGTTCTGTGAATGCTAAAAAAATGATAAAACCCAAGATGTTTATATGGCTTTAAAAATTAAATTTTCAGAGTTCAGGCGAGGAAGTTAATCTGAAAACATGTAAAAGATTGGAAGGACATCCGGATCAGGTTTGTTCCATGTGATTCCAGATTGTCAGTAGCAAATATCTCGAGACATAATGAAAATTTAGTTTGGATAAATATGCACTCTGTGACACGCGGTAGTTATGTGTGGAAATGAAGGAGGATTATATGGTTTTACTAGAATGTTTTTCAAAATTCTGGGAATTATTTCAGCCGTTCTGATAATTTGTTATTTTGATGACACATTTATTTTGACAGTTGTCTTTAGGAATTTCTCCTTTTTTTTGGAGGGGGAAACGAAGGTAACGAGTCTGTTGATATTTAAAGTTTTTGAAAAGTGCAGTTTGATTTATTTTCATCTGTGGATGTGTTATGTGTATGTGTGTATATGTATGTGTGCGTGTGTATGTGTATGT